CAATTAAAGCTTGACTTTGCTTTTGAAAACACACAAACAAAACACTATTTCTTCTGCTTCTAAGTGACCTCAGTGCTCCGCCTTCCTGTTTCCCTCCCTATTTCTATCTACCTCTGTCTGCATTCACACCAAGGCTTAGAAGGTTAAGCAGCTTTTCAGCAGATAGACCATGTTCCAGCATGACTTCCAGCAGAAGAGTAGGGAAGAGTCCAAACTGCAGTTTAGCATAATATCTACTTTATTTTTGTCCAGTGGGCTTGTGTGAACAAGACACCAGAAACACTTGCTATAAATTCTGGGAAATACAGTCTGATTGATGCAGTGACTTTCTGTACTGGTTGTGTGGTCTGTCTTTTGCAATATTCCTTTTGACTGTGTTTTTGTTGTAAAACACTGCTGAGAGCACACTAATTTTTCTGTCACTTTTAAGAACTGTTTTCATAGTAATTTCCCAAGCAGTGTTTGGAGAGGAGACACAGGTGGTGGATACAATTAGAAAAAACAGAGATTTGTATCCAAAGGATGGTCCATTTCTGTTGTGCAGGGCCGGAGAGGGATATCTGTGGCTCGTGAACTGAATTGAAGTATAAAAGCTACAACAGTGACATTTGAGTAACACGGTGGCTGTCCTATGTCATTCCTGTGAATGAGGAAGCAGAGCCAGGCCACCAGGGTATTTCTCCTTTGCATAAAGAAATAAATGTTTTTATACTGTTTTATAGTAGCTCTGCTGTAAGAACAGAGTGGGCAAATTTTTAAAAATGAGAAGCTTGTGTAGCTCCAGCATCTGAGGAAGATGAGAGAGAGAGAAGGGCATTCTCAGGTGCTGATGATCTGTGTCTCCACCCCCAAAGCATTTGCCCCTTGCTGGGTACAACAGCCAGCCTTGTGACACAGGTGATCCTTACTGCGGTAGTGAAAGTACAGCTTTCCAAACATTTTGGTAATATATAGTGATATATAGTGATAGTTGGATCTAATGGAACTTTTTATTTTTTTTCTGCCATATATTAGTGGCTTGTTTACATCTATAATACCAAAAAAAAAAAATCTAAGAGCCCGTAACTTGAGAACTAGGGGACGATTATTTTTGGTTTCTTATGCAATCTTAATTTGGCTCTGTTTGAGGGGGTGTTTTATATCCCAGCCCTTAATTACACAGTTATGTGATACTTTGCCACAGGACCCTGGTCCTCACATGTGCAAAGGAAACACAATTAAAATCAGATGGGCAGCTGTGAATTTCACACACAACTTGCAACTCCTGGTCTTTGTAGCCTAAATAATGTAACTTGTCAGTTGTGTTAACATATAGTGATTGACTTGAAATTTTCTGTTATGCACCTAGAAAAGCTTTATGGTCCATATTTTGAGTTCTTAATTTCACCAGTGGTACCTGCGGTAGATGATGTAGCTTTGTGGTTGGCTCTTCTGCAGCAACAGCTGTGAGTATGAAGGCAGTGTTTAGAAGAACACTGGCTAAAGAGCTTCCTTCAAAAAAGTGCCAAAGAAGGCGCTAAGTTATGTAAGTGTCCGAGGATTAGTCTTCCCAATTTTCATCCTGATACTTAGTAAAATGTCTAAGACATGATGCTTTATTGATTATTTTGGTGGACTTGGTAGTGTTAGATTAACAGTTGTACTTGGTGATCTTAAGGGTCTTTTCCAACCTAATTGATTGTGTGATTTTTCTCTTCCCTACTCAAACAGAATATAGATGAGTTGCAGTCCTTTCCAATTGCGCTGTATTTCTTCCAAAGAGTCTGCATCCTTTTTTGTGACCCCTTCCTATGAAGAACACAAGAGGGAATTAGTATATCTAGAAATATTTATTGCATGAAGCCTTAAATCTAATCTTGGAATTGGTAATAAATTTGGGCAAACTACATTTTGACTCTTGGTGATAAGTGACATGTCAAACGAGGTGTGAGCATGTTGACTACAGTGGGGAACTCAAGCTGAGCCGTGAGCTGGTGGAGTTCAGGGTAATAGAAATCTTTTTTCTCAATTGTTTTAATCCTCAGAGTCAAATTATGCATAACTTCATATGCCAGGGTATACTAGTAAAATACGTTCCAAGGAGCAGGCTTTTGGCAGTGAAGAAGGACAGTAGTCGTGGCTTTGATACGCAGGCAAGGCTGGATTCAAACTGGTCCTAAGGAAATCCCTGCCATTTCTAGCAGCGGTCCTGCTCGGAGGAGCCCTGTGCAGAACTTTGGAGGCAAAGCTGAGAGGATGAAAATGCTGAAGACAAGCTCTCTAGCAGCAGGATCAGAGTGGTCTGTGGCCTTTAGATCAGGTGAACTCACTCTCAGATCACAGTCTTTTCCTGGGCAGGATGGATGAGAGGCTTCTGCATAGTGGGAATAGGTTGAGAATTTGAGGGGTTTTATCAGATAGACGAACACTCAATGGGATTTTTATGGCCATCAATTCTCCACACAGTGGTAATGATGTTTTCTAAGTGCTATGTGGTTCACTTTGGGTTGGAGGTGTGACCTTCTGTGTAGCTGAGAGCCTGGCCAGGCATGCCCTTGTGTTCCTAGTCCCCTGTCTACCCTGTGCTTGGGGGTTGCTCAGGCAGAGGAGGAAGGAGAAAGCCACTGAAGAGTCACAGAAAGGTTCAAATTCATCCATAGCTCAGCTCACTTCGTCTGTGCTCTTGAGGAACCGTAAAACACCACCTGTGAGAACATGCGCAATCTATGTGTGTCTGTCTTCAAATATGTGAATACCTCTTTCTTTGTGGGTAATAGAAAAATCCAGTCAAGGAGAGATGCAGTAGCTTCTCTTTCCTGCAGAAAAAAAAATGCTGCCATTTGGTCAGTTATATGAGATAGCATGGCACCCAATGTAATCTCGCAGCTTGCAAGCATGCACATTTATTTGACAAGAAAATGCTAAGAGCAAACTGAACGTTCAGCTTGCTAAACAGCCAGTAAATCTAGGTTATATCCTCCTTCCCCGGTCAGGAAACAAGGGAGCTATTTTTAAATCTGGCCTTTCTGTACATGCTGAAATAGAATGACTTTTTCTTGTGCTAGGCAGAGCATGACAATACTTTTGCATTAAATAATGAGCTCTTACTGTTGCTCTGAATTAAATGGGCAGGATTGGACAGAAACCATTCTTTCTCCAAGAAAAAAGACTAGCACCAGTGATTTCTCCAGGCATTGATCTCTGCAAAGAGAAAGATTAGATCATCCAGGGAGGAAGAGGAGCAAAGCAACCTGAATGGTGGGGAGAGAAGCTTGCCAGTAGCTTTGTGGGAGGTCTTCCATTGCATTTCACTTGCTTGGGGAATGGGGAAAATTAGAGACAAGATCTCCTAATTTGTATGAAACTGTTTGATGCAAGAGCCTTTTGCAATCCGAACTGTTAAACAGTTTGGATTATCTGGCTGGAGGCTCCCTCTGCCAAAGGCAAGAGGTCTTCATGGCAGTTGTTGAGGGGAGGTTGAGATGTGAATTCATGTCAGCTCCGTAGCCTTCACCTACCTGCCGTGCATCTTTCCCTGTGGCCCCAGGTTTGTGCAAAGATAGAGCCAACGCTTGCTCAGGCATGGAATAGGGGATGTAGCAACTTTTCATTTGCATTGTCATACTGTAGTGTCTGGTTTCAGCAATTAATGTTTATTTTAGCTTCTCAGTGTGCTGGGAAGTAGCGCTCTTCTCTTCATTGCTAAAAATAAGCAGACAAGTTTATATAGTCTAACCTTCACCTGACATGTGAGGGAACTATAATTTAAATTTATTGGCCTTAACAGTTGCAGGTGATTCTGTGTTTGTGTTCAGAACTTGCCAGATTCAAGTCTTGGCATATGCTCCTGCCACAAACAGTTCCTTTATCTCTTTAGCTCTCTGTAGGTGCCTTTTGATACCTGTTGTATTACTTCTGTGTATTTTTGCTGTACACTCGCAAGAAGACTGAGACTGTATTTCATTCATTGCTGACATTCCTGTTTCTAACCAGAAGCGGAGAACACTAAGGGAATCTGAGTTTGTATACTAGAGGATGAAGCTTTCTTGGCTATGCTGCTGGATAAATGAAAACAGAAATAAGATACCATAACCTGACTAGCTGAATTGTTAAGCTGCCTCTTTCATGAGCTCACATTTATTTTGAGCTGATTTAGAACTGTTTGGAAAACCATCCTGTCACTTCACAGGTACAGCTGCTAAAATATCTGGGTACTATTTCTGTAGGCAACTATATGGCCTCTTTGCCTATCTCTGAAGATATTTCTGCTAATGTTTTAGAACATATTTTTCACTTTAAGTATTTAAAGATGTGGCTTGAAGGAAAATAATGTTGGAAGAAAATAGAGCTAAGTACAGTGAGCCATTCACACAGCTGGATATGTGTTAGCTTAATTTATTTAAGTGCCAGTGTATATTTACAAAAGATCTAAAGGTCATACTGCTCCAAGATATCGAGTCAACCACACTTGTGATTTCTTTCTACCTGGGATCTTGGATTTAATTTGACACTAACTCAGTATCTCTCTCCAAAAGGATTCATTAGAACATATTTCTAAATTACTGCACAGGATATAAATAAAAGGGCCTAATTAAAAGGTCTGTTGGCAAGCAGCAGAAAATACCTGTCCAAATAAGAACGTATGGGGTCATCTGAATCTGTCTTTCTCTTGTGAAAAGGCCTTTCTTGTTTAAGTGTTAACAGGTTCACGTATTGACTTCTGATCTGGAAAACTTGTCTGTTGCTTACAGCCAGTGAGACAGTGTCGGTGTGACTGCTGCTTTCCCTGCTTGCTCATTAACTTTTGAGTCAAGGGTGAGAATTTGTAAGAGAAGCAAGAAAAAAAATCTAATTATTGTGCAAATGACTTGGTGTTCTGTAATTTAAGTCGGGGGGGGGGGGAAGAGTTTCTATTTGAATTGAAACTAATTGATTAGTGCACATAAGGAAAGATAAAATTTTGGAATTTAATTGTAATTGACCAAATCACCATCATTTTGGGGGTTGGTTTGTTTTTCCAGGTCAATCAGAATGTGGAGATCCAAAGGGCCCGTCTGCGAGATGATATCAAGGAATATAAATTCCGAGAAGCGCGTTTGCTGCAAGACTACACTGAGCTTGAAGAGGAAAACATCTGTCTCCAGAAACAAGTGTCTGTCCTGAAGCAAAATCAGGCAAGTTTTTCAAAATAGCGAGCATTGCTTTGGTAACACCAGTTAATTCCTGTATTATGGGGGTGCTTCTGTCTCGTTTGAACATCTAACCTTTTCTTTTTTGTGTTTGTACTGCTTTTGAGACTATAAGCTCTATCTTTTGGTACCAAGAGTTGTCCCAAAACATTTAAGTCCCTATTGACTCTCTTTATATACAGTCATAAGACTTTGTTGCTTCTGCTTTGACCTCCAGATCCTTCCATTGCCTTCTTTCTCTTTAATGGAAATGAAGTCTCTACCGGTCTGCTTGTTACTTGGTTTATTCTTTTTGCTACATCGGTTATTCAGTGTCTCTTTGCAATACCATCCATCCATCCATCCTCTTCTACAGGATCTCTAACTGGGTGTATTGCTGAACATAGGTTTTTATTGCTACTTAGTGCTTACATGATCTCTCCAGTTCCGTATTCCTCCTCTCTAGGTACTTCATTACACATGGACTACTGTTACAGTAGCTCTATACTGTCAGACTTGTGTGACTGCTCATCTGAAAAGTCATGTTTAATTGCACAGTTCAAGCTATTTTCAGAATTTTAGAAAACTGCATTTTTGGAAAAACTCAAGAGTTTCCCTGAATTATCCTTTGCGGAGGTACTTAGACTAGATGTGCTCTTTGGCATGGTTCACTTATCTTCATCTATCAGTTGAGGATTTGCTATTTTTATTCTTTGGGTACCTGTCAGTCTCCTTGAGTAAATAAAACTCTAGGTTCAGTTGAGAAAATTGTATCATATTTCTGAAGTAAAAACTCTTGAAGTTGGTGTTTAATAACTCATGTGGTGTTAATACCATCTGTTGTAGTGAGCACATAGCAAAAGCTTATTAGGATTTGCTTCAGATCTCCTTCAGTGTTCTGAAGGACAGCTGCACCACCAGGTGAGGTATCTGGATATTGGATGTATTTTGTTTCTTTCCAGGTGAAACTCCATGTCAATGTTTATGGCTTTGACCTTACTGATATGCCCAAAATTGGGGTTCCGGGTTGGACCTGTTCTCACCTGAGTATATTTGGTCTAATTGCGCTGTTTTGGGTGCCCTAACACGCAGTAGGGATGAAGGGGCTGTTATGCCCTAGGTGCAGACTGGAAGAGATAGTGATCTGGTAAAATCCAGCCTATGGGGTTGGCTGCTATTGTATTTTACCTTTCCTTGTCTTATTCATTGTATTCAATCATAAAATCATAGAATGGTTTGGGTTGGAAGGGACCTTAAAGATCATCCAGTTCCAACCCCCCTGCCATGGGTAGGGACACCGTCCACCCTGGCCTTGAACATCTCCAGGGATGGGGCAGCCACAGCTTCTCTGGGCAACCTGCGCCAGTGTCTTAATACCCTCAGAGGGAAGAATTTCTTCCTAATATCTAATCTAAATCTCCTCTCCTCCAGTTTGAAGCAATTTCCCCGCGTCCTATCACTACATGCCCTTGTAAAAAGTCCCTCTCCAGCATTCTTGTAGGTGCCCTTCAGATACTGGAAAGCTGCTGTAAGGTCTCCTTGGAGCCTTCTCTTCTCCACGCTGAACCCCCCCAACTCTCTCAGCCTGTCATCCCAGCAGAGGGGCTCCAGCCCTCACAGAATCTCCGGGGCCTCCTCTGGCCCTGCTCCAACAGGTCCATGTCCTTCTGCTGTTGGGACCCTCCGAGATGGAGGCAGCACTGCAGGGGGGTCTCCCCAGAGTGGAGCAGAGGGGCAGAATTCCCCCCCCTCGCCCTGCTGGCCACGCTGCTGGGGATGCAGCCCAGGATACAGTTGGCTTTCTGGGCTGTGAGCACACATTGCCAGCTCATGTTGAGCTTCTCATCAACCAACACCCCCAAGTCCCTCTCCTCAGGGCTGCTCTCAATCCATTCTCTGCCCAGCCTGGATTTGTGCTTGGGATTGCCCTGACCCACATGCAGGACCTTGCACTTGGCCTTGTTGAACTTTGTGAGGTTTGAACCTCAGAGGAGCCAAGTGAAAGTTCCCAGCTTCATGCTCACATTCTAAAATAACTGTATTCAGGAATGCTGCCATTCTGGGCTGAGCCAAATTTAAGCTCAGATGCTATCTTGTCAGTTCCTAGTAATTATTGACTGCTGCGTTTGCACTCTGGAACCTTTGAAAATAGACTGCAATCTTAAATATTTGAGCTCAGTGGACGTATATAGAACCAAGAGCTAATTCTTTTCATGGCAATGGATTATTTCATTTTCTACCTTGTCCTAATCCTACTTCATGATTTTTATTAAGCTTTAATTATCCCACTGACATAACTATAATAAGCCCTCAAGTTTTCCCAGGCTTAACATGCAAAACTGAATTAACATGATTGGTTCCTGGTTTTTAAATGAGGTGTGGTTCAGCACTGCCAGGTTGGTGTATGGTGCCATCTACAATTCCTTTAGCAGCTGGCAAAAATAAATAGGGTCATATACTGTGTGGTGTGTTTTCCTTTCTTTCAAGGTATGGAAAAGGTATTCTTTAAGGCTTTTTTTTTTCTCCTCTGATGGATTCAAAATTTTACACTCATGATTAGTGTTCATAATTTCAGTGCAAGAGAGGTTTAAAAAAAAATGCAATTTTACAGGTAAAAACTTACAGCCTGCCATCATCAAATTTAGTGTAGTGGCACTATGAGTCTGAAGTATAGAGCCTGAATTGTAGCTCTCAAGTTGTGCTGAAACGATGATGACAGAAATGATAAAACATTTTATTTTGAATGTATAAAAGCCGAGTTTGATAGCTAGGTGCATCCCAATAGTTTTAAGTGCAGTGGCATATTCTAACAGCAGTGAGCAGTGTCAGAAGCGTGGCTTTGCGATGCTGGTTTTTGGAAATGTTGAGCTTGAATTTGTGGGAAGGTTGGCCAAGGTATTTGTTAATCAAACAGAGAAAGAGTTTGCATAATGTGCTAGGAAAGCCCGTTTTGTGACGCCTCTGTATCACACGCTGTATCTCCCACCTGTCTAGCTGGTGTCAGCTCATTTGATGGTTTGCTTAGAAATTTGATTCCGTGGTCTCTGTGGAGGTAAATTATGTAAGCGATGTGTACAGTCATAGTGCCAAAACTAGACTCCAGAACTGAAAAAATCCTTCGATTCTCACCATATTTAGTGAACTCAATCATTGAAAAGTAAAATTACTTGGTGCCTTGCAGGCAGACATTTTCATTAGGGTTTTTTTTCCCCTCCATTTGTCTATCTTCAGGTGGAGTTCGAAGGCCTGAAACATGAAATCAAAAGGCTTGAAGAGGAAACAGAATTTCTCAACAGCCAGCTAGAAGATGCCATACGGCTGAAGGAGATCTCTGAACGCCAGCTTGAGGAGGCCTTAGAGACGCTGAAGACAGAGCGGGAGCAGAAGAACAATCTTCGTAAGGAGCTCTCTCAGTACATGAACATCAATGACTCCATGTACAACAGCCACCTGAACATCTCTTTGGACGGACTGAAGTTCAGCGATGAAGCCACGGAGCCCAATAATGATGAAATCATGAATGGATTTGAACAAAACTGCCTCAGCAAACTCAGCAATGGCAAGAATAGTACATCAACACCCAAGAAAAATGAAAGCTTCCCTCCAGCCCCAAGTCTGGTTTCAGATCTTCTGAGTGAATTAAACATTTCTGAAATCCAGAAGCTGAAACAACAGCTTGTACAGGTAAACAGGTTTCCTAAACAACTGTGTACTTCCAAATAGCTGCTAGAGTTTATTCGGGTTGTAATTTCAGTCTTTTCAATACCTTACGTGACTACCATACAGTATGAACTATATTTGTAAAAGCTCTGATGGATTTAGAATTTGAGGACATTAAATGTTTGTCAGCTGAAAACCATATCTTTTTTCTTCTTTTCTCTTTTTTTTTTTTTTTTTTTTTTTTTTTGTGCAAAGAAGCTAGCAGTCATGTCCTGTGTTTGGGGGAAAATTGTAACGTATCTTCTGTGCAGTACATGCTGTCACTACTTCACTAGTGAGAAAGACAGTATTTTGTTCAAAAAATTGATAGTTACTCCAGTCATCTTGATAAGAAGGAGCTGTGTACAGTTTAACTATTTTCTGTAATTATTTTGAGGAGCATGAAGTTTTAATCAATACCAAGCATTTCTCTGATATATTTGTGCTATGGGGAGGCTGGAGAGTTTGAAACAAGGCAAGTATTTGTGTTGCATAGAAATGTTTTAAAGTTATTTTGTCAAGTGTTTTTAAGTGTTCTATAAGAAAAAGCGTTTGTGGGGAAAAAAAAAAAAGCTGGATTTTTTTCAAAAGAAGAACTTCTGGAGGAGAAACTTTAAAAGTTTCAGTATTTCAGAGTCCTTCATGAAGCTCCAGTCTTCCACCATAGACTAGCTGCACATTTTCTAGTATTTACTTGACAATTTGCAAGATAACGATAAACCTTAACTTATCTTCAGCTGAAAGGATGTTTTCACAATGAGACCATTAGCTATGGAAGAAATGTGTAAGAAATGTGCATTTTTCGAGTGGAAATGAGAAAGAATTGGCAAAGAACACTGTACTTGAGATACTTTTAGAATAGATTAAATAGCCTTTTCCATATGTGCTAGTGCTCAGATTTCTGTAACCGTATGGACCTTGACTAAGTTACTGTTTCTTACAATACAACCATTTAAGCGATACAGTTTCCTTTACGTAGATGTCTGTTCACGCATTTCAGATGGAAAGAGAAAAGGTGAACCTGTTAACGACACTGCAGGAATCTCAGAAGCAGCTGGAAAATACACGGGGGGCCCTCTCGGAGCAGCATGAAAAAGTTGGCAGACTCACAGAAAACCTGAATGCAATGAAGAAGCTACAGATCAGCAAGGAACGTCAGTCTGCGCTTGACAATGAGAAGGACCGAGACAGCCATGAAGATGGAGACTATTACGAAGTTGACATCAATGGGCCAGAGATCCTGGAGTGCAAGTACAAAGTGGCAGTGGCAGAGATTACTGACCTAAAAGAAGAGCTTAAAAATCTGAAGGCCAAATACAAAGAATGTGAGTCTAAGTATGAGGAAGAGAAGAGCAGATATGAGACTGAGAGCCAAGCTCTTACTGAAAAGATCACCTCACTAGAAAAATCCAGTAGGCACGATAGAGAACAGGTGGCCAGATTGGAGAAGGAGCTGAAGAAAGTCAGTGATGTTGCTGGAGAAACACAGGGCAGCCTCAGCGTGGCCCAGGATGAACTTGTCACCTTCAGTGAAGAACTGGCCAATTTATACCACCATGTTTGCATGTGCAACAACGAAACTCCAAACCGAGTGATGCTGGATTACTACAAGGAAGGTAAAGGAGGACGCAGTAGTCCAGAGGCCAAGGGAAGAAGGTCTCCCATCCTTCTTTCTAAAGGGCTGTTAACTATAGAGCTAGGAAAGGCAGAGAATGGAAGCAGTGACAGCAGCCCATCTCCAGTGTCATCTTTGCCATCTCCTGTGTCAGATCCTCGGAAGGAACCAATGAACATTTACAACTTGATCGCTATAATCCGTGATCAGATCAAACACCTGCAAGCTGCTGTGGACAGAACAACTGAGTTGTCCAGGCAGCGTGTTGCCACTCAAGAACTTGGGCCAGTGGTGGATAAAGACAAGGAAGCTCTCATGGAAGAAATCCTGAAGTTGAAGTCCCTGCTGAGCACCAAGAGGGAACAGATAGCAACTCTGAGAACTGTGCTGAAGGCCAACAAACAGGTAATAAGGTCTTACAGATGCTGATACTTGTTTTGTCCAAGGCTGAAGCAGGTTATTTCATTAGAGGCACACAGCTGAGCGCTGGGGCTCTAACTGACTTCTGCTTGTCACATACTCATGAGACATTTTATTAAGGAAACCTGAATGCAATGAAGCAGCTTCAATCCACTGCTTGTCTGAATTACATCAGATTATATTTATTGTAAGACCGCTAAAATGAAGAGCTAAATCTTATTTTCCATTTGAAAGAATTCTAGTAGTTACCCTTAAAAGAATTCTTAAACTTATGTGGTCCTCTCTCTCAAATTGCAAAATAAAAGAAAGCCTTCCAAGATAAGGAGGTGATATAAGAACATGGTCAAAATAACAGGGGTGAAAGGTAAAATTAGTCTCCAGGGATTGGGCAGTACCATTTGATACACATTAGCAGTGCAGCAAATGGAAAATAACTGTCATCAAGGCACCATGTGACGTCCTTCATTGTCTCCTCTAAAATTAAAAGTAATGCAAATTGAAGTTGTCTTCCAAAACAAAAAAAAGTATAGTGTTTAAAAATTAGATACATACTTTCAGTTTTCTTTTGTACATTTTAATAAGGGTGTCCCAAAGTGTAAGATAGGCAAAATGCTGTAAGGGTTAGAGAACTGTGCAAGTGACTGATGAATGCATTTAAATATAGAGATGCTAAACAGACTATTTTGTTCTTTGTGTTGAAGTATCTAAAGTTTAATCTCTTAGTAGCTGGAGATAGGTGTCCGTAAATGTATATTCTGTAGCTTCCTAGGTGCTGCTGCGTGGTTAATGGGAGTAGGGGACCATATGTCCGATCTGTTTCCAGTGTTCAAAAATGAAATTTTATTTATTTTGTACAAGAAAAGTTGACCAAGAAGTTTTAACATGACAGTTCAAAGTAAATGTTTCAGTATGTGAACAGTGATTAGAAATCTCTTAGCCAGCCACTTTGTGAAGAGTTTCATTAACTAGTACATTTCTGTTCTTCTTGGTAAACAATAGACTGCAGAGGTAGCCCTTGCCAACTTAAAAAGCAAGTATGAAAATGAGAAAGCTATGGTTACGGAGACAATGATGAAGCTGCGAAATGAGCTGAAGGCTTTGAAAGAGGACGCTGCTACCTTCTCTTCCCTGAGAGCAATGTTTGCCACAAGGTAAAGCATGTGTGAACTCGGTAAAATGTCATTCCTTGCTTGTGTGGGGGGAAGAGCTGAACATCTCACCCACCTCCCTGTGCAGAGTGGCAGGGTGGGGTGCCTTCTTCCAAGTTCGCTGCTTATGGTGTTTGTCTGTGATGTGTTCCAGTTGATGAGGAAAATGCGAGGGATGTGGTGTGTTGCTACAAAACAAGAAGTAGTTGTGGCGGTATTTATTTAATTCAGGTGCAAGATTATCCCTCGTTCTTTAGAAGCCGTTAGGTTAGCCAGTGTTGGGTTGATGGTTGGACTAACTGATCTTAAAGGTCCCTTCCAACCTAGAAAATTCTATGATTCTATAATTAACTCTGAGGAGGAGTGACATTTAACAATGCAAAAATGAGCATTTATTACACAATGAAGATGTGACTCTGCTTGACCTGTAATGATCCAGAAAAAAGTAAAGATATTGCAGACATCTTACTATTCTTAGGTTGTCCATCCTGCAGTTGGCGTCTCTGTCATTTCATTTACCTGTGTGAGCTGATTGGGGTTGCATATGTCTTTGGAACTTGCTTCTGCTTCTTAGTTGTGCTTTGTGGTGTTAACAGACAGAAATACCTGCTGGCACATCACGCGCTGTAGAAGTGGTGCGAGCTACTTTGATCTGCATGTTGCTTACTGCTGCTGTCATTGAGTAGTTCTTTGAGTCCACGCGTTTCTTTTGGGGCAGTTTGGGGCAACAACATCATGTTAGGAAATCCAGATCTGCTTCACAGTTAAGGAATGTTCTGTTGGCTCCTGTGTGGTGATGATCCTGGAAAACAGGAAAAGAAAAAGCTTTATCCAAAAGTTGTCAGTCCCAGGTTGGTGGCTTTCATGGGGACACCCCTGGCAATGTTCCTCTGTCTGGGTATTCCATGTGTTGCTGAAAGATAGAGAAGAGAGACTGTAAAGGATGCTGTTTAATTTAACTTGACAATTCTAAGATGACCCAAGGGGATGGGAGAGTCTGTAGGTGCTGTATGCTGCTTTGTTCTCTGCCTTCTTTGGACACTTTGGAAAAAAAAAAAAAGGAAAAAAAAAACACCCCACCAACCCAGAAAAGTAGTTCTTTCTGTCATCTGCTAAAACGTACCATAGTGAAGAATCATGAGGGTGCTGATGCAGCTTGCTGAGGCTGTTCTGTGTGGTCTTTTGTGGGGGTGGTTGTGCAGCGGCTCTCGTGTTCCTTGAGTAATCTTAGGCTTCCTGGTGATTCAGCCTTTCTCAGCAATAGCTGTGCATGTGGGTAAGCACAGAAAGGAGAAATGGATACCAAGGAATACTAAAGGTTGAACTGTGGCAGCTCATTATGCCAGAGAAAGGAATGCCCTGTACAGTATCGATTTGTCCTACTTTCTTGTCTCTCTGTCTCCTTTTCTGGAGTGTAATATTACATTATATTATTCTGGAGTGTAATTCTGCATATTAATGCAGAAATTGCAATCTCTTTGTTAGTTGTAGATGAGCTTGAAGCTGAGAGGAAAGAGAAAAAGCATCCCGTTAACTTCTAGTTATTTTTCCTAGATGCAGGTAGCTAGCTGTCTAAATTACATGTAGCGGCAGTAAGTTTTCTCTACATGTTGATTTTCCTGCCTTGGTGAGAGTGTGACTGTGAACTGGTTTGGAGAGGAAGAAATGCCAGAGGGGTAAGTCTCTCACTACCTTTCTCTTGGTGTGTTATCTAGGGGTCAATCTTGTACTTTTGCTGGGAAGAGAATTCCTTGGTGGGGGGAAATTGGAGGCAGAATAAAAGCTTTTCTGCAAGCACCAGACTAAAGAGCTCTGTCCTGGGGCTCTCAGGGGCAGTTGTGGGGGATCGGAGGCAGGAGCGAGCTCTGGTTGGGGATGCACAACAGAATCCCCTGCCTAAATGAACAACTGTAATTTCTGAACTTCTGCTTTACTTAGTAACAGTAGTGAAAAAAAAAGAGAGGGCCACAAGCAAAGGAGCTGAGGATGGAGCAAGTGGAGACGTGGTCCACTGAGCCTTTTGTCTTGGGAGTGCTTGCATTGCTGATCGTGACATGGCAGATAAGCAGCTGGGCCTTGTATTTGGCATCTAGCCTGTGGCAGCTGCACGGAGCACGAAGAATTGCTCCTTTCTCCCCGTGTGCCCAGTGTTTCAGATGCTGCAATCGCTGTCAAGACCTATAGGTAGGTCTTGATCCCTGTCACCCCTTCCCTCCCTGATCACTGGTCAGAGAGGATGTGTAGCTCGGTGGCTGGCCAATTCCGTTCCTCTGTCAGTGGCTGTTTCATCTCAGTCTCTGTTTCAGTTAAGGTGGGTTTGGAAGGGGTGATCCAAGGTGCTTTGGTGAAGATAAGAACCTCAAAAACTGTTTTAGAGTCTGATTTTTAGGCATGTTTCAAATATTAGAAGTGTGTAAACAGCCCAATTTGTCTTCACCATCGCAAACAACATGCTAATGGTTGAGTTACCACTCAAGTCAACTCAGCTCTTTACAGTGAGTCATGTTTCTTCTCCGGCCAAGAGGTTTGTGTCAGCAGACACTAATAACAAGTGATGGGGCCTTTACACGCTGTGTTGGTTCTGCTGTTGTGTTGGAGTGTGAGCTGAAGCCCACTGCTGCACACAGCTCCGTAGCTTCCACAGGGAAGTGCCCATTTTGTCGGATGCAAGAGAGCTGTAACAATACATGAGAGTTGAAGCCTGGGCAGGAATATAGGAACTGACCTAATTTCCTTTTTAAAGTAGGTTAATCCCAATAATTTGATGATACTACCAGCTATTTTTAAGAAATAATGAAAATACAGTAAGATCTCAGCCTGGAGACAAAGGCTTGCAAAACCAAGATTAACAGCTTCCAGCGCTGGGGGGCTGCTGCAGCACTCTAGACAGCACTGTATGCCTAAAATTAAGCTGTTGTACAAAGGAATAAATCAAGATATGCATGATGTGCTATAGACATAGATGCAATAGCTGTACTGTTAAAGTCCAGATTTTCTTAATCGACACGCATATCCCAGTTGTATGTACAAACAGACTGGAAGCCAGATTAAAATCTGCCCTGTAGAGCTGAAAATGGAATTTATCCACTTAATTAGACTGTAATAGGTATTTATGTAACACTGTATTACAATCAAACATTTTGATGTTTCATTAGTAAACTCTCTCTTCACCAGAAAAAAAAAAAAAGTTGCAATTGCTTCTCCATCTAAAATCCAAAGAGAAGCTGACCATCTATTTTGTCTTACTTTACCGGGTAGGTTTGTGCTTGCTGACAGCAAAATGTAAATGAACAGGGCCTGACGATGATGCAGCAAATGTTCGTTAGGGTACAGCCTTCAGCTTTATTGCGAGATGCGAAGTGGTGCTTCTTTCTCTTTATGGATACCATCTGGCTCCTGTACTGTACCTGCTATCTGGAGCAGCAGTTTGAAAGAAGGTTTCCCACAATAATCTTTCTCAATTCAGCATACAAAAGGCCCTACTGTGGTTCCTGTTTTTAGGGGGTTATCTTAGGAATTTGAAACAGAATAGCTTATGTTCACATGATGAGATTGAACACTGCAAAGAAAGCAGTCGCTTTTACAGTACACTTCCAACATTGAACTATAATATGTGGGATGGTATGTTCTGTATTTTAAAGAATAAATCCTTGCAAATTGGAAAAAGAAAATACGGCTTCACACAAACCACTCATGTCAGAATTTTTACCTTAGAAAGTATAAACTACTAACTCATTTTTTTTCAAATAAATTCTTAAATGGAAATTTCCAGAAGGCAGAATAAGTCTTCAAAATGCAACGTTTACTCTCAGAGTTTGAACTGTCTCTGAATTTCAGCTGCATCTCTATAACAAAAAAGTATAAAGAGCACACATTTGCAGTTAACTTAATTCACTCCGGTTTTCATTCAAGTATGTATGAATCAAGGGGCTACTTTCAAAGTGTTTGAGTATTTATTGAGTTTAATGTGACCAATGGCCTATGTTAACAGCACCAAGTAAAGAAAAAGCAGTGAGAGAGGAGAGAGCAGGAGCTCCCAGTCTAGAGGTAGGTGCTGCTGGGGGTATTCAGGTCACTTCAAAGTGGAGTATAGGGAGCACAGAGCAGGAGCTGCTATTGTTTTTTCCTGGCAAAAATATTTAACCTCCAACAATATTTTATGGTAGGCTTAAATAACTCTCATTTAGTAGGTTAAGAAAATGGAAAGATTTTTTTTCTATACGGAACAATATAAATCCCTACTTAAGTGTGAGGAGGGGAGCTTAGTAGCAAATTTGAGATAAATGAGTTCATCTTCCTCTAAAATATTGCCAGAAGAAAGACTGACTCCTTTCTTTGCTAGACCAAGAGCTTCTCCCATGTGCTTTGAAGGAACCTGAAGTGCATATGTCCTGTTTTCCGATGATTTGGGGTGGGAGTGAAGCACCAATTCCTTGTCTTGTAGGTCATGATATGTTTCTAGATTGCCTCTGAGCAATTTGTTGTTCAAACCTGCAAGCGCATTAGAGCTCAGGTTTCTTAAAATGGATTAGGGAGAGGAAAAATACTATATCAAAACAGATGAGAAAAGTCCAGCTTGGAATTTAACCTTGAGGCTTGTTTAGCTTAACTTCTCAGTTAGGAAGGAGGGAGTAAGAAAACTGTATGTTTCTGCCAGCTGTTTGGAGAACACCTCTGAATGTGCCGTTTCCAGAGTACACTGCGCGTGATAACGAAGCACAGGTCCACAAATTCATCAATGAGCAATTCAGGTTAAAGTCCTTAAAGGATGGTTCGATGAAGAGCAGAACACCAATATAGCCATCACCTCATGGCTCAGAAAAGAATGCACTGAGAAAAGCCTGTCATGGATTGGACAGGAAGAGAGTTTAAACACAATTTTGCATTTTTAAAAAGCAAAGGTTATTTTATTTTGTTATGCTAGTCTTTTCCTTGAGTTCACTTTGCTAGAATTTGAGTAAGCATCCTTCCAAAAATTCTACTAAACATAAAAAAGGGCAGAA